CACACACACACTCACACAGGTACACTCACAAACACGCACATACACACATAATTAAATGAATAATTAATTAATAAAGACATAAATATTATATAATATCTAGATCTATAAATAAAATAAATAAAAAATTTAAAAAGCGAAACACAATTTAACTACCCTTAAAAAAATAAAAATTTCGACCTTATTTAAAAGGATTAAAAAATGTAAAAGGAGATAATTCTGTGGGTATAAGCTTGTCTGTGCGTGATGTTAATTAATGATGTGTAAATAATTATGTATAAAATTGACAACTTGTTGCGCGATCATGGCCTAGACACTTGGACTTGCTGGTATTGTATATTGTTGCAACATAATATGCGGGCTCGATGAATAATTTACATCTAGCCTAGATCTTGTGCTCTGGTGACTGGTGCAAGTGCAAGCCATTGTTTGCAATGAATAAAAATTGTGTAAGCATCCAGCTATATATGCGTATGCGTCAAATCAATTTTATTTCCTTGAAGTTATATCGCTTGCAAGTATTCCTCATTTTACTGCTGATGTATTTTTACTGTCCGTACCAGATAATAAAAAAGTTTCATTATTTTTCATTTCACAGAAATTTGGACAACCGGCTCTTGCAGTGAAGCCTGCAGCTTCAATCATTCAAGTTCGAGACAAGGCTGTTGAAGTTAAGATGGGTGTCTTTCAGTATTTTTCTTATGGAAGTAACTTACTGCGAGAGAGAATCCTTATACGTAACCCCACCGCCAAATTTAAGTGTCTTGGAAAATTGAAAGTAAGTTTATTGGTAAATGGGATTCTTTTTGTAAACTCACTTGATTTTGATTTTTTCCCCCAGCACACAACACCAGCACACGACAACACAACATCTTAATAGCCTTTTTGGATTTTAAAAATATCTTTTGTAGAATTAAACCATACTGTGAAGCTCCAATGCTAGTCTTTCAAAATGAATTTTTTACTTAAAGTAAAAAAGAATGTTTAGATGCTATATGGACTAAATTTTACCCAGAAAATAATTTTTGTATCAATTTGTGAAAATATATAGGCCTACAGTAAATTTTCCAAGACACAAAAAGTGTTTTGATATCAACTATGCATGAGCCTTCAATGGATTAAACTAAAAATTAAAAAACACAGGTGTACCAGTATGTCTTTTATGCATTTTGTCAAAAAAGTAAAGTTCAGCACTTTACCCTTTCACTAGCAATAGAAGCCCATGTTTTTCTTCTAAAATACTCTTCACATTTTATTCTTCAGAACTATGCTTTGGATTTTGATACTCCACAAGGGTATGACCAGAAGTACTGGCATGGAGCTGGGGCCACTATAGAACCAAAGGAGGGCAGTTACGTCATGGGCTGTGTTTGGGAAATTGATGAAGACCAAACTGATAACCTTGATGCGTAAGTGAACTGACATGTTAAATTCTTGCTAAACTTCCCTGTTGCAAATGCACTTTAGGTAAATGTGAGGCAGCGTGAAATCAGGGGCTCATCAAAATAACGAAATCAGAGAAACAGCTGCATCTTTCCGTCAGTTTGGAAATTTTTCTCGAATTTATATTTTTTAGTTCTTGACTTCTTTTTTGTCCATATACGCTATTTCGTGTGAATTTTACTGAATAACATTGATTTAAGGCACAAAATATGTCATTTTTCATTTTTCAAAGACTCTATATGGTTATTATTATTGGAGTTGCGAAATTTTGGCAGCCATTCTCTTGCATATTTCACGACTGAAACCAGGCCACCTCACTTCCTTCAATCGCAAATATCTTGAGTTTTATTGAAGAGAAATGGACAATATAAATATATATATATTTATTTCAGTGGAAGCAAGGCAAATAAATCAGCTTTTAGATTATACCAATAACTCCACGCATGCCCAAAAATTGAGGAGCGCTTGATTCCACTGCGTCTTGACACAAATGTCGTACCATGGAAGGAACTAATTGTGAGGCATTGTGGGGAAATCAGGCGTTCGTCAAAGTAGTGAAATCGAAGAAAAATAAGCCTTGGTATTTTTCTGCCAGTTTGGACACTTTTCTCGAATTTTTGTTTTTCGGCTCAACACACTTTATGTCCGTTTAAAAACTAATTTCTATGTGGATTTTTACTGAAAAACCCTGATTAAAGGCTAAAAAATTGCAGATTTTCAGTTTCCAAAGACTCATAAGCTTTGGAAGTGATCCAACTTTGGCAAACATTTTCCTGCTAATTTTGCCTCTGAAACCAGGGAACCCCCACCTCCTTCAATCGCAAATATCTCGACTGTTATTCCAGATATATTGATATTTTTTCTATCCAAAGCAAAGCAAATGAACAAGCTTTAACTCATTCGCTACGCCGAGCCGTGGGGGGCGGCGCGGCTCAAGTGCCGTCAGTACGCTAAGCCGCCCCCGGCGGCTCGAGAACCGACGTTCAATTTTAGTTTGGTTTCTATTCCAATCCCCATATCCATGTTAAAATAAAGGTCATAATATATTGTTGACTTCCGGGTCAAGCGTTTCCACCGAAAATCGGAAGTTTTGATTCAGTTTTGAAACATGGTTTCGTAGTTTATTCGACTTTGTTTTATCTCGAAGCCCAAATTATAGCCCAGACACCAGTCTTAGTACTTTTACTCAACAAAATGTATCATTATTTTGCTCACTAAAGAAGTGTAGGACTCTTCTTTATAATATTGATACTATTGGACGCAAATTGCCGGTGCACTGTGATTGAGAAATCAATATTTTTGAGTGCTAGATCTATGCCTAGATCTAGATCTAAATAGTCAAAATATTTTTTTCTCCCCAAAATCACTACTTTTGGGTGAAATTAATCAAAAAGTACCACTCAAGACATGTATAGGTTTATTCCAAATGCAATTCTGAATAATAATTCCATATAAGTTACGCATATTTTTTTCTGTTTGTGATCCTTTTTTCAAAATTATTAAAAAATTATTTTTTTTTCAATATCGGATGTTATGATCCTAATGTACAAATATTATGGAATGTATGTAAATAACTGCACATTTTTCAATATTTTCCTGTTCTATATACAGTTATGGTTATTTTGAGGTATCATTTGACTAGGTGCAAACATATTTTTTTAGTTTCACCTGAGATTATAAATTTTTTATTTTCCAATTTTATCCGCATCCAATCACAATTGTGTTGCATAATCGCCTCTTACAGGAACCAAAGTTGAAAAATACGCAAATAAAAAATTCAGATGTATTCTACAAACCATACTGAAAATGTTGGTATATAATATGTTGATATTTATTTGAATTTATGGCCCCAAAGACCTGTGAACTGCGCTCTAGTCATTATCTCATTTCGCCCTCCCGAAAAGAATTCGTCCACAAGCCGAAAATAATACGTAGCGAATGAGTTAAGTGGATACCAATAACCCCACATGCAAAAAAATTGATGAGCGCCTGATTCCCCCACGTATAGTAACGCTATTGTTTTTGGTTCTGAGACGACCTTTCGGAGAGTGATTAAGTGTTTTTTAATTTTTTTAAATATATATATTTTAAAAAATAGACGAAGGACATCTTTTAAAAAAAATCTTGAAAGAGGTTTGGTGAAAAATGGGCGATATAGATCTTTTCTAAAATCTGAATTTAAAACGATTTAGTATGTAAACACTATGCTAAATATTTTTTCGAAAACTTTATTGAGCGCAATATAATTCCTTTTATTTCTTTCTTCAAATGTACAAGCGCATTTGTTGTTTTTTTCCCTGATTTTGTACAATGGAACTCAGATAAGACCTTCAATTTAGTTGAATCTGAATATAGGAATGTCTAGAATAATGCCACATTTGGATTCTTTTGAATCATGCCTACTTTCATTTGAATTTGTCATCCCCATCTGAGATGATACAATAAATTAAGAAATTTTTTTTTTTTGTAGCCAAGAAGCTGGATATCATCCAATCTTTGTTGATGTGGATCTAGAGACCAAAGAGCGTGTTACTTGCCGAAGTTACCAGATGGATTACGAAACAAGGACAGGAGACCACCGTCCGAATCCTTTCTATCTTAAGGTTTAAAACATTTTTGTCTGATCATGACCTTAATGTTGGTATCCTTTGCCATCTCATGTTACGACATATGACACGGGGGTGCATTTGAATGAATTGTCTTTCTTTAACGAAGAGACAATTTTCCTAACGCTCGGGAAAATAAGCTTGACCTCTATTTCTCTGAACAGTTTCCGTTCTCGAGATTTTTTTGATATTTGCAAGAGTTTGGCGTCATCTTTCATTCTGCCATTCTGTGGGGACTGGGAAGAAGCATTTTTATGCTCAGAATTCAATTTCTAAAGTTTGAGATTTTTTAGATGTTTGAATATTCAGATACTTCAATTGTGGTTGGGGCTACTTTCCCAGATTATGCTTCATTTGAAAATGCCTTCCAAAGTTACTGCGAGAAAACAAGACTACTCGACTTTGGCAGTACTATTTTGCATTTAGTCACCCCTAAAAACTAAAGCAAAAACTAAAGCGCAAAAAATTCCTGAACGCCCCCACGGCCTCCCCCCCTCCCCCGTTCACACCTTACACACACACACACACAAACTATATGTCTCTTTCTCTCTCTCTCTCACACACACACACATGCACGCATGTAGGCCATTCCATTTGCAATAAATTTTAAAATCTCGAAAACGGAAACAGTTCGGAGAAATAGAGTTCAAGTTTATATTTTCCCGAGCATTCGGAGAAATAGAGTCGGCCTTTTTTTAACACAACATGAACTTCAGCAGAGCTCGTGTATTTTGCAGCACTACTTCAATTGTCGATGTTAGCCACAGTCTAGAACACTTTAGGTAGGCTATAGCATCAAAGGAAAAAAATTAAGTTTCTTTTTTGAAACTATACTACTTGCATGCAGTAACAGTGGAACTCGGATACAACGAAGTCGTTGGGCTTGACCTTCTATTTAGTGTAATCTGAGTGTTTGTTATAGTAAACATGAGGTTTTTGTATTGATATTTTCAGACACGGAGCCAGTATTGTATAATGTATTCGACTTTCTCAATCAAAAGTAGTGTGGTTTCAAAGTTGAATTCAAATGATTTTTTATTGATTTTCATGAATAAATAAATCGGGGAATCCATCTCCTTTCATTGAATCTGAGTTTTTGTTGAAGCTGAGTTCCACTGTACTGTAGCAGTGGAATAGTTTAGTTTTCAGTATTAGTCTAGACTATGTTTGCCATAGTTATAAAAAGTTGAATAACTCTTGTTTGGAATCAGTGTGCTCTGTTATTATGGAGTCGAAAAATGGGAGAAAAAGTTTGGATGATACGTTGAATATGGCATTGCATCAAGCTCTCTGTAAATTTTTTTGAAAGACAAGGAGAGGATACAAGCAGCGGTAGACCAAGAAATGTGTAAACTGAAGAGAAATGAATATGAAGATGTTGATAAAAAAATCCTTCTAAGTTGTGGTGTGGATCACTCAAAAAAAACCCAAAAAGTGAATCTTGCAAGCCTGAGCATGTTGTTCAGGGGCTGTTCCAACTGAAGCAACTTTAGGCATCATTGGTTCTTTCCTTTTATTCGAGCACTGTGACACAATCACATTTTTTTTTCATTTTATCCATTATCAATGAAAAATGCACATGTTAGCCATATCTTTTTTATAACATAACTAAAGGCCTGGTTACACGTAACGATAAATTGTACAAAAACTGGACGTTCTAGCGATCACACGATAAATCCTTAGGTGTAACCACAAAATTGTACAAAATTTGGGTTATTGAACGATGGTTTGGAGACTTGGTTGAGAAATCAACTTGATATTTTTCGTGCGATCATGGTCAGATTTGAGGGAGACGCGCTGTAACGTAGATTCACTTTGAAGTTTGCCGCCGCGCAGAACTAAACTCAGGGCACAACATTTTTTAAATTATTATCGTAGGTAAAAACTGATTTCATATTCAGAATCAGCATCTCAAAATAAGCAAAGTTGTTCGTGTAGAACCTGATTTGGTGTGTTATTGTGTGTATTTTAGCAATTCTATTATTTAGTCGATCACGGTAAAGTACATCAAGGTGTGTTGCACGTCTGCTGTCAAGTCAAAGCTTCTCTTTCTACATACAACACGGTACGGTATGGCCGACCTTCTAAAGACACTGTTATGCTATATGAAAATGTACACGGGAGAGGGGGGGGGGGGGGCTCTCATGATCTAGAGGTACGGTGTTCGCCTTTCATTCCTTAGGTCCAGAGCTTGAAACCTTCACTATGCTTCCCAGGTTAATCGCTGTCTTCGCAAGAGACATGGTGGCTTTGTGATGAGGAATCTCCTCGATCGGAAGAAAACTGGACGATACATTAGAACGTGTAAACAGACAACACAGTTCAATAAAATGGACAGTTCTCTCATACGACGAATCTGATACAATTTATCGTTGCGTGTAACCAGGGCTTAACACAGGGATTCCTCAAACTTAAAGATCAAGCCTGATGACTTCTTATATCTGCAGATTTCACTGCATTTTAATATTCATAGAAACAAGCAGTAATGCTGACTTATGCAATTGTGATACAGTGGGCCAAACTTGTGTAAACTAGATACATGTAGATTCAGGATCTCCTTGAACTTCTACAGCACCTACAATGTATCTTTTGTGTCTCCCAGACTTACACAAACAAACAACCAGACAAACTTACAAACTGCCTTTATGATTGTTCAGGTGATAGTGGATGGAGCCAAACAGAACAACATGCCGGCTGACTACATTGCCTTCCTTGGAGAGTTCTCCACAAATGGCAACCGAGACCCACCCCCAGTGTACCATAAGGTCTTGGAAATGATAGAAAAGTTCCGGAACTCTGCTGAAGCGACAAAAGGTGGCAGCTGATGGTCTGAGCATTGTTTGGCCTGGGTTAAGTACTTTCAATATATACATGTACAGTGGAGTCCACTAAAGTCCTTTTAAACCAAACACACTTATTAGTCTTAATTTGAAAACAGCGGTAAACTGAAATCCCTGATTTTTTATCGTCTCTGTCTTAGTAAGAAAACTATCAGAAGCCAAAATGCTCACATTTCTAAATCGAAAAAAATTTCGAGGGTTATATCAGCAAACTCTTCACTAACAGCCTTCACATAACTCAAATCATCAAGTCTTGAGTGCCTCATAATAATGGAACAGAAGAAAGAGACATTAGCACGACATTGTCAGTGTACTGTGTGCCTGTGTTTATCACCCATCAATAGGCCTCCGCTGTATAGGCCTTGTAGTGCAAGGATAGTGAAGGTTCATCTGTCACGTGACCATTTGTCGGCATTTAATAGCTTATTGTCTCTGCAAAGTTAGATATTGTTTTTCCTTACACATAAACGCCTGATGGCATGCAATGAGTGTATTTAATGACGTCTCTGACTTTGGACTTTCTCAGAGCACAGCACAGTGTGCAGCAAAGTGTGCACTTGCATCTTTGGTCTGTTCTGTGTGACTGTTTGGCAGATATAAGCAAGTTGACAATATCGAAGAGAAAGCACAATGCTTACTACTTGCAGCTCAATTTGTAGTTTATAAAAGAGGTACCATAAATGGGAACAGAAGAGTTCAAAAAGTGAAGTTTGCCACAGGAATGGCATTCCCAACCCTAGGCCGTTGACAGTTTTGTGCATTTCTCCAAGTCAAAAACATGGCTAAAGCGAAGAAACTCTGGTGGTTCCCCAGATTTCAGTTTAAGTGGAATCCATCGTATATGACGTACCAAAATAATATGTGAAGAATGCAAATCTTTTACAACAGTCTTGTCCGTACATATTTAATATAAAGTGCTTAAAGTCAGGTTGTTTCTGGCCTTTTACTTACAGTTGATAGCTGTGGCTCAGTTCTGTCTTTTGATATGTGGCTTGTTAATGTTGCAATATGAGAATATGAATATTGGAATGAACTTCTATGTATTTAAGAGTTTATTATTTTTTGTGTAACTATGTTATAGATTTTAGCATATTCAAAGGCAGTAGGCCTACACTTTAACCTGTCCAGAAAGATAAGTCAGTATCACAGGGGACCGTTTTAAAGGATAGATGTGATGGACAGAGTAAGAGTCTTGAGTTTGATTTATGGCCACTTACTAGATTTGACAAAGTCAATAGATTGTTTAAAATTTTAAAAATCTAAATTTAATCTTTCCATTTCATTTGCATTTGCATAAAATTATTTTCTATCGTAAGAGCTACTTTGCATCAAACATGCTTAGTATGAGGATGGGTCAGGGGGTGACTTCTATAGCAAGAGCCTGCTATATGAGCAGATTTTGAGGCTGACTTGTCTAAAAAATGTCTGACCGTGGCTGCATTTAACAGGGTTGTAAATGTAAAATGTGTGTGTTTTTACACCTCCATCGACACAAATGGCAGTTTTATATAAAGGTAACATGCAAGGGCGTCATGAAACGGTGGCCATAAGTATACAGGTGATGGCTATTATGGAGTGGTGACCGTTAAGGCAGGTTCAACTTTTTTCACTGTTGAAAGAAAAATGAGCAACTTGACTTGACCCTGCAATGTACAGCAAGTGATAAAAAATTGAATTTTTCAAAATCAGCTAAGAAATGTAACCGTCTTATACACTATACAATTTATGGAGAGTTTTTCAGTGAAATGCAGCAACCCTTTGATTGCTCGTGTATTCACTCTCTTCCTTGTTTGAAGATCTTTGTAAAAATAAAATACCTCTATCATAATATTATAGCGCAGCAAACAGGCCCAATTGCAAATATGTATTGATGAGAATAATAAAAATACTCGGTGAAGAGGGTATGACCAAATTGTTTTTGTCTCCACACGTTTCTGACATATTTGATAAATATAAGAATAATGAACATTTTATTATTGTCGAAAATTTCTACTCTCTTCAAGGATGATATATAATTTTTATAACTCTAGTTACCATCTTGTCATTGATTGGTAGGAGCGTCCTATCCGTGTGACCCCATTGTAGTACTATATACGTAATAGTATATAAACTTGACTAATGAAGGCTGGCCACCGTACCATAGTCGGTTGACAAATTTGGTCTAAATGTTAATGTTTGACATTAGATGGTTGGATACATATGATTAAATTATATCATACTATCGAATGCATCCCTGAATTGTTTTTTTCTGTAGGAAAGCGTCCTGACCACAGCCCCATTGTCGAATTAAGCAACGTAAATGTGTCAAGCAAGGCTTGAAGCTTCACAGTCACAGTGTGATAAAAGATGTTTTGATTGTTATGAGGTGGTTAATTTTTTTGAAGATAATTAGGGATCTCGTTCCTTTATTGAAATTGAAGCAACTTAAAAATAATATAACATCAGTTTTGCAAGTGGTCTTTCTTTATACTGTACTTGCTGATGTCTGAGAAATTGAAAACTGATCTGTATACCTAGTCCACCTTCTGTATTAATGAAGTTCATGATGCCATTTTTTGAGTGACAAGCTGATTGTTGGTTGTTTTTTTCTGTGATGATTTAGTGTGCTTTTGTGCTATAATTTGATGTGATGGGACAGGTGGAGTTGGAGGTTTGGAAAGATTTTTTGTCATTTTTTGAAAATTAATTTTGTTGTTGCTCTGACTCTGACTCATTTATTATTTCAAGCTTTCTGCTAAAAGCTGAATGTGATGTAATAAATCTGTTCATCTTTAGTAATAGTAAACTGACCTGATGATAAATTTTGAAGCCCAAGACCACCTTGTTCGAAACAGGTAGACCTATGTGGTTTAACGGTTAGCTTCAAATATAATGGGTCATTACTTACGGATTTGAGGTCTATGAGCCACATTGTTTGCTTTGAAGTTTTAAATCTACTTACATTTGATTTTTTAATTGAAAGATTATCCCAAATTTACCTTGTTTATGTGTGCAGAGCTTCAGTTTTTTAATTTTTAATTTAGTTTCAATGCATATTCTCAATAACATTTTTATTTTATGCAGGTTCTATTTCTACAGATTACATTTCATGTAAAATTCATGGAAGTGTGGGGGATGTTGACCTTTTTAAGAGCTTTCAAAATCATGCCATAATCAATAATTATTCTTGCAAGATGATGTTATCAGTATTTATTAAAGTCACATTCTATTGTGTACTGTTTGTGTTTATGAACTTGACTTTTTTCAGTCAGTAAGTGGAATCATTTTATGGTAACAATGTCATTTTAACGAAGAGGCAAGCTCTGGAAAAGATGCTTTTTTTTTATCAGGTGAGAGAAGCTGTCACTCAGTGATTCAACTGTCTCTGCTGCTGTACTTTTTAATTTTGAAGCAAGTTATCCTTTGGAGTAGATTATGAGAGCTACATGATATATTCAGTCGACTCCGCTTGTGTTGAACTCGCTGGAGTTGATCTTCAGTGAAGTTGTTCTTTTTCTTGGGTCCCAGCCCCTCTTCTTCTTTCAGATCCCAATGGATAAATTAAATTTAGGAAGAGTTGATCTTTTTTTTCACTCTCCCGACAACATCAACACATCCGTAGTTGACTGTAATAATTGTGTCATGATGCGGTGGAATCAGGCGCTTGTCAATTTTTGGGCATGTGGAGTTATTGGTATCATCTTAAAACTTTTTTATTTTTCTCTTTTGATGAAAAAGATATCCATTTATCTTGAATACAAGTCGAGATATTTACGATTGAAGGAGGTGGGGGTCGCTTGGTCTCAGAGGTAAAATTAGTGAGAAAATGGCCGCCAAGGTTTAGTTATTCCCTTAGCTTGAGAGTCCTTGGAAAAAGAAAATTTACTTTTTGTATGCCTTTCATTGACGGTTTTCAGTACAATACACACAGAAATGTGTTATTTAATGTACCTGGAAGGTGTTGAGCCCCAAAACAAAAATTAGATAAAAATTCACAAACTCAAACCTGTGTAAAAATGCCAGTTTCTTCACTTACTTTATTTTGACGAGCGCCTGATTTCACAACGCTGCCTCACAATGATATAGACCATAATGGTCCAAGATAAGTTGTGGGATAAATTTGGCCTGGTTATTTGTTTTCTTGCAAATACATGATTGGACATCAGCTGTAGGGTGCATACTGCAAGCACTTAATCAGAATAAGTTTATTAAATGGATTTTCATGCTCTTGCTATTCCTTCTATTAATCCAATCACTGGCTGCTTTCCGTTTGTTCTGACCATACACGAAGATAAATGTTACAAAGAGGGAATCAAAACATTTTATCAAAAGAAAGTTGATTGCAGTAAAAATCCTTTATTTGTATACAATTTTTTTTATATATATCTAAACAGGAAGCCTAAGAGAAAATGTTTCAAGCATGCATTCTGAGCATACTGTTAGGTGGATAGGGATGAGACCTAGACAGCATAGTATTCACACTGGGAGATAAAACCCTCCGGTTTTCTCTTGAGGAGCCTTAGAAAGATTCTTGGAACAACATATATACCAAGACAAGATCACCAACGGAGGGGAATTTGCTACATGTTTTTTAACCTGCGTGTTCACCAAACCAGAAACTGCCCGACTGTAAGTCAACTGTCCCTAGGGAAGTGGGTAGTAGAATAGAATAGGAGCACATGCTTTTTCCCCAGCAATCCATGAAAATTCCCTTTGCATTTTTCTGCCAAAACCACATGACACCTCCTGACAAAAGATGGGTCCATCTGAATGTAGCATGTGACATTTTATTCAGGCCGTGTGGTGACTCATCAGGCCTAGGCATAGGCCTAGCCAGGGCTAAAAAAGATTTTTAATTTTCAGATTGATTGAAAAATCTGATGTTTTATTTGTAATCAGCACCTCAAAATGCACAAGGTATGTGCATAAACCATTGAGTTTTAATGCATATTAACAATTTCATTAATGAAAAAAAAAATCATTTCTTATTTCTGCCTTGCATTTATTGAACTCTTTACTGTTTATAGCCCGATAACGAGAGAAGGCCGTTTTGTCAGAGCTACTCACACGCTGGTGGACACGAACAGACTGATTTGCCTCCTTCTGAATAAAAAATCAGCTTGTTTCTGAGTTGGTTTTAGTTTTAGTAAGTGTTTTATGGCATTTGCAACACAATAAGGTCATATAAGTGCCGAAGATTAGAGATGTTACAAGAGAGTAACCAACACAAAAAAGGAGGGGAGATAAAGACGATAGATGTTTGATATGAAGGAAGAAGCAAAACACACCAGAGAATCACCATCAGTGCCTTTCACCCCTGGCAGGGTATAGGCCACATACAAATACAAGCTCCTTCAATTTATCTCTGTCCTGTGCCATCCTTCCAAGCTCGTTCCAAGTGAGCTTCATTTCTCTCATGTCCCTTTCCACGCATCTCCTCCATGTTTCCCGTGGCCTACCCCTGCCTCGTACACCAGAGAATACACAAAAACAACACATCTGCCAAATCTGAGCTCAAGATGCAGAGCAAGATAACAAACTTTGGAGCATAAAAAGAGAAGTCACAATCATAAATAAGATAAGACAACTTGAAAGAACTTTATTGTCCTCCTGAGGACTGTCAACAAAAAACACATCTTTTAATGATGTACTGTCATACGAGCAAAGATCATAGATCATGAATGTATTCCACCTGCATTTGAATTATAAGATATAAATATAATTCAACCAGAGATATTCACATTATCGACGTCATCATCATCTTAAGCTGGGAAAAATCAAGGCCAAAAGATAGAAACAACCGAGGGCTGGAAATCATGTAAGATTTACCAGAGGCACCATAAAACCAACCACTGTAGATAAATAAATCCCACTGAGGGTTAGAAAATTAAATTTACACAAAACTATTACTTAACCAGCACCTCAGTTCTTTCTTGTTGCATCTCCATTTTTAATAGTGAAAATGTGACATCTTGTAATGAAGTTTTCACTGTTATAATATTATAAAAATAGGCGATACGACAAGAAAGCACTGGGGTCGCGATATGAAGACAGCATAAAAAGGGCATTCATTTTTCCTAAAAACTGGTGGCAGAGGGAGTAATATTTATTCAGTTCATTAAAAATAAAGAAAATTACACCTTCACCTCTTCAAGAATAACAGTCTAAAATTAAACCTTTCAGAGTTTTTAAAAATTGTTTTTTTAATTTTGGGTAGATGTTTTTCTTTAAATTTTATTTCAAATCCACTGGACATAGACATACACATGAGGAATTCATGAAAATGTGGGGGAGGAGGTCATGATGGTGATGATGCTAATCAGTCGAAACGTCGACTTCCATGCAACAACGTGTCAGCAGCTGGGGTTGGTGGTTCTTTTTTTTAGCTGACCTACGGGTAGGGGACTGGAGTAGGGGAGAGAAAAGGATTTGAAAGTGCATACTTGTGTGTGTGTGTATGACTATGAGAGGGAGAGAGGGGGAGGGAGGAAGCAAAATTCCACTGACAACAAAACTGACATGTTCTTGTGTAAAACTTACCCGCTCACCATATACATATATATTACTGATTATGTTGCATTCCTGAGTATGATAACTATCCCTTACGGGTATATATATATTTTTTTCTACATTTCTACAATGTTATATTGTAAACACACTTTAGATCACTATAATCCCAATGCGTTCTAGCAAAACGTACGCTTTTAGCAGGTACATTTTAAACACAGTTTTTAAAGAGTAAAAATACTAAATAGGACTCTGGACTTCAGGTAGTGAACATTATATTGCTGAGAGTAGGCCTAGATATTTTAATAAGCTGAGTATGTTTTACCCAGATTTTTCAGTAAAATGTAATTACTGTAGGCCTATATAGTTCATACTGTACATGACTGAATTCATGGCACCAAGATCATGTTCCATGTCCTTGTGATTAACAAAAAATATTTTTCTCACTTTAGGAAAAACTAGCCAGGTAGTAAAAAAAACTACAATTGTGACCAAATAAACCCTACAACAGCAGGAAACAAAAATCATGCAACGTAAGAATCTTTGCAAAGTAAGAATCTTTGCAAAGTAAGAATCTTTGCAAAGTAAGAATCTTTGCAAAGTAAGAATCTTTGCAAAAGTACTCTTGTGCTCCAAACTTCTGAAAAGATAGATCATAGATCTAAAAATGTCAACATTTAAAAAACATTTTGAAAGATACAACACAAAAATCAAAAGAATCAATAGAAACAAATGGCACCATCTGGATTGGTTGAAAGACTAAACAAATCAAGTAAGTTTAAAAAAATGAACATCAACAGGAATTAAAATAATTAAATCAATGTTAAGTAATGAAGCACAGTACTCTGTGTCTTAACACATTACATGCTTTAGATAGAACTTTCAAATCAGATTTCAAAATTTGTACACAACCAAATAGATCTATGTGTTGGAAGGAATGAAAAATGTAAATCGATTCTCAGTGCATGAAGAACAACTCCAGGGTAGCTCTACTGATGTTACATGACCTCATGGTTTTTAATTACAAGCACTTCCCAGCTGCACAAGAAACATGTGTCAAACACCCTCAGTTAATTTAATACACAATCACAAATAACAGAGCATTATATTGTTATTAAGGCCTCAAAACTGTGACTGGAAAGTAGACTCCTGTGGCATGTTTTATCATATGAAAAAGGATACCTAGAAGAAAAATATAGTTCACAAGGGAGTACCGTATTACACTTGCGGACCTACAATCTTAAAATGGCACCGTAACACTGCACTTGCAAACCTAAAAACTTCAACGATCATCCAACATAGGACTACTTACGAACCTATCCAATATCGGGGCAAATATTGGATTTTGCTAGAATATGCTGACATATGGAGAACCATCATCATCGTCAACCATCTTATGCATTACAAGTACGACTACAACTCGATTAAAAATCGTTAGGTTCACACATGTAATGCTTTAATCTTTGTCAAACCACTATAGGTTTGTAAGTGTAATGTTTAAATTTGCTCAAAATTGAATAGGATCACTAGTTTTGAAAAATTAGGTTTGCAAGTGTAATACTAATACTCCCATTCACAACCATGATTTTCCAGTTTGAGCATGTAACTGCTGATTGATTTAATTGGGTGCTCACCACAGTAGTGTTAGTTCATCCAGTGTCAGATCTGCGACAGACATCAGCCATCAAGGTTCTCCATTCATTCCTTTGCTCGGATGCTCTTAAAAAAGCTATGGTTTCCCCATCTTTCCCCGTTACTCATTCGTTTAGGTTCCCTAAGTAGGTTGCTCTGGACCTACTCCTGCCTCGTTTGCCTTCAGTTTTGCCAGTGAGAGCTAGATGTTCAAGACCTTTATGTCTATTCAGGTGTCCCCAAAAAACGCATTTGTTATTTCCTGATTGTTTTTGACAGTGAGCGTCCCACGTGGGCTTCATCAAGCACTACCTCATTTGATTTCTTTTCCTTCCACGATATTCTCAACAGTCTGCTAAGAAACCACATTTCTGTTGCTTCTATTTTATTTTCACGACAGTCTTTAGTGATTGTCCAGCATTCACAGCCATATAAAAGGGTTGACCATACATAGCATTTTAGAATTTTTATTTTGGTAGTCTTTGAGATGTCTCTACTAGTGTTAGAACGGTACTGAAAAAACCTTAAAAAAGAAAAAAAAACCCAGAGTACTTTTATTTTAAAAAACCCTTATTTTCAGAATAAGAAAAGTAAAAGACAAAACCCAATGAAATAAAATGAGACCAAAAATAAGATATCTACTCATTTCTGATATAACGGTAATAGCATGTCCATAATTGATTTACTTCCTGTTTAATTGTAAATTAAATGTGTGTTTTCATCATCATGACATTCTTCGACACAATTTAGAAAATTTAGGAGGCAGGCAGGGCCAACTTGGGAAAGAGCGATGCAACAGAAAGACAGAGATACTGGGTAAAAATTTATCCCCACTTGGGAATTGAACTTGAGTCTCCAGCATGCGACAATGAAGCCCCTAACCTAACTTCTACATCACAGATGCCTGTTTGAATAGCTTCATAAAACACAGAACTTATGCTAACACACAACAAGCAAAAGACATTAGTGGTAATGTAAGAAAGATGACCTAATCATATAATCACACTCACCCATAAAAATATCACATGGAATGGAATTTAGACACAATATTATTAATGTAACACACGCCACTGCTAACTTTCTTGATTGATCATAAAACAGAGTGAAAGCTAGATTCCAACAATCACATGGAAAAAGGAATCACACTGTAAAAAACAGCACCAAACAAACAAGAAAAGACAAACCTGAGAAAATCTTTAACTATTCAAGGCTAGCATCTGCGTTTGTCGCGGCCCCGATTTTTGGCATTTTTTGGTCCGCGATTTTTGCATAATTTTTCAAAAAAGGCAAAACAACAAAGCTACTTCATAACATATTAGACATGTATTTTGATAAGTTTCAAGATGTCAATGTGTATCTATTTTCATTCGGAGAATATAAGTACATTACATTACATACTGTTTATATTGCTGTCAGTCTTTTACTTTTCCCTCTTTATTGTGTTTTTATTTGTAGGCGAGTTAATTTAAAAAAAAATTATTCTGATGATTTGTTTTTCTTTTTTTGCGTTTATACAGCCTAATGTCATTTAATTCAATGCTCTTCCCTCCCTTTAAAAAATATAAATGTGTTATGTTAGAGCGTGTCTCCTCCAAAACCAAATAGCCTACTGACACTGGCACACCCCAATTGTGTGTGATTCCATAATATAATTTACATGTGGTATCTTTTTCTTGACTACGTACGTTTAGGGTTAAAACAGCCAATCTTCAGATAGGTGGACACGCGCCCTAATTAGTTAATTTTTGTGGTTATTTATACGTGCTGTTCTAAATTTGATTTCATTCTATTGTGAAACCTTTATTTTCAATGACTACAAATGATATTCTGGATGCTCAAAACAGAGCACAAGAAATTCTGGTGCTATAGATTGTTACCTCTATCAACATATTGCTATATATATTGTCACAGAGAGTTGAAAGCTAGACAATTAATGGCAACTTTTTCGGCAACTTTTTCCACTTTTTGTGGCAACTTTTGGAAAGAAAAAAAAGGCAACAAACGCAGATGCTAGTCAAGAGACAATCAAAAAGTTGTTCCGTTTTCTTTGGCAGATTTTCTGAACTTTTCTATCATATCCATGACAGTAAGATATACAGGGGGAGGTTCTTTGATGCCATTGGTTGGAACGTTTTCTAGAAAGTTGATGTACTCAGCAGGCATGTTGTTCTGCTTGGCTCCGTCTATCATCACCTGGAGGAATAAAAAGTTTTAAAAAAATGTGAGGCAGCACGGTGGAATCAGGCTCTTGTCACAATAATCAAAGTGAAGAAACTTGCATTTTTCCACAGGTTTGTGAATTTTTATCAAATTTTTTGTTTTTTGGCTCAACACCTTTCAAGCTCATTAAGTAAAAGAACTAATTTCTGTGTCGATTTTTCTGAAAAAGCGTTGATTAAAGGCAGAAAAATGTAAATTTTCAGTTACCACGGACTCCTAAGCTAAGAAAATAACTAATCTCTTTGCGGCCATTTTCTCACTAATTTTACCTCTGAAAACAGGTGACCCCCACCTCCTTCTTTCGCAAATATCTCGACTTGTATTCAAGATAAAAGAATATTTTTTTCATCAAAACAAAGACAAGTGAATAAGCATTAAGATAACACCAATAACTCTACATGCCCAAAAATTGACGAGAGCCTGATTCCACCACGCTCCCTCACAAATGTAATCCTAGAGCATGGTTGATGTAGTCAACACTCATGAAACCTTATTACCCACAACTAAAATAACGAACAGTTTAGTTTTAGTAAGAGTTTTACGGCACTTGAAACACAGTAAGGTCATATAAGTATTATAAATGCCGAAGATTAGAAGTGTTACAAGAGAGTAACAAACACAGAGAAGGAGGGGAGATAAAGACGATATGTTTGGTAGGAAAGAAGAAGCAAACCAAAAACAGAGCACCCGCCAACCACCCACTAAATGAACAGATAAATCTTAATTTATGTAGTAAATGAGAGAAAATGGTCCCACAACTTTAGCAAGGAGCCTTCATCTCTCAACTCCCCTAGATATCAAGCCTAACTTCTCTCTCACATACTCCCTCTAGATCTCAGGGGCAGTAGGCTAAGTCAACTAAGTGTGTTGCCATGCAGTAGAGGCAGGTGCGCGTCAACTTTTGGACATTTGAGTTATTGGTATAATCTTGAAGCCTGTTCATTTATCTTGCTTTAAATAATAATTTTTTAAAAATTACTCATCTACCTTGAATACAAGTGGAGAAATTTGTGATTGAAGGAGGTGGGGGTTGCTTGGTGTCAGAGGAAAATTAGCGAGAAAATGGCCACTTAAGTTTAGTGATTTTCAAACTGGCGTCCATGAAAACTACAAATTTACAATTTTTGTGGCTTTGATCAACTTTTTTTTTTCTGTAACATCCACATAGGAATGTTTTAAAATGGAAATAAAAGGTGTTGAGCCAAAAATTAAAAAATTCGATAAATATTACACATCGACGGAAAAACATCAGTTTCTACGATTTCATTATTTCGACGAGCACCTGATTTCATCACGAAGCCTCATAAACATAAGGTCTTTCAACTGACCGTGCAATCAATTTTTTCATAACGTAAGGCATATTTTCTCACTAGGGTGCAGTGACCTCAATCTTTCAGACAATGAAGACCCAGTATAGTTTTGTTTTGACAGAGGCCTTAATGATTTTCCAACATGGGTTTTTTTTTCAGTTTTCAGTATCAATAAGTTTTATTTTTATTTTGGTAGCTGGCTTAGTCAAGCCTACCCTTCTCAGCTTTTAACTTTAAAAGTATGGTCTAGCATGCCCATAGATCTAACATATAGGTAACTGGCCTTCAATTATACATAGCGTGCCTGCTCTCTCTCTCTCTCTCTCTCTTTCATCATGACTCTTTCGTTAAACAAAACTTGCCGTCACTGATGCCAATTTTTCGTGCTATGCACAAATTACTGTTTACGTTATGTGCATGTTTTGAAAACAAGACAAGAAAAAATTCAGGAACTGAAAAATCTGTTTGCGATGTGCATTTTTCACAATGTGCGTGCTAGACTGTATCTCTTCAACATAATGCCGTAATTCAAGAAAGTCAGGCACATAAGTTGCCTACCCTAGAGCAAAAGGTATGACAGACTTGAGGAAAAGAAATGCATACATATCCATCATTTGTGCTAACATACACAGGACACAATAAAGTACACTTGGGTGTTATTAGAAGCAAACACAAAAGTCAAAAAAGGAGTTCTCAAGGAATCTTGTTTCGTGTACAGACTTCAAGTCAAGCACTTAGTTTAGGTATATTTCCTTTAATCTCAACGACTTGGATTCCATATTGGTAGGCAAACAATAATTTATAGCTGGAGAAGGTTCATGTCTATGGTATCACTTGCTAGTCGGAAGCGTACACAAGTACAGCCAAACCTCATTATACCGCCTACCTTGGGACAAACATGAAGTTGGCGGTACAGCAGGTATGGCAGCTTACAGTACAGAATAGCACTGATTGCCAGTAGAGACTAGAGACAAACTATGGCCAGTCTTGACTCATCTAGATCTGTCCACAGCGGTTATGGAGCGCCCATTTAGTTTCGGCTGGCGCGAGGCAAGCAAGCCCGCGCTTCCCCAGGTCACGGGGTCATTTACCTGCGCCGCCGGGGATTTCCCTAATCAGCCGAATACCGGCAGCGCTCTTGTATTTTTTGCAAAGTTTACCAGCACCGTGAGCCAAAGCTAATGTAAGATGAATATTTTAATAAAGACCACGTAAATATTCAACATATTAAGGAAGAAAATGAAGAAATCGGAAGAACATAGTATGTTACACTTAAAAGCTATGAAGTTCTCAAAAAGGGGACTTAATTTGATAAATGTGTCATGGGTAATCAATTATAAACATCAATTTAAATGTGATTGCCCCCAACGATTTCAATCAAATTTGCACACAGGACTGAGAACATAATGAAATTTGTACTCACAAAGGGGCATATGCACGAAGTTTCTGGATCCGTAATTATTCAGGTTTGAAGTTGATTTTTGCAATACTCTTGCTTTGCGACCTTGTATTTTCATAGCGATATCCACGATACATGTAACTACAGGACAGATCTTTCCTTGCCGATACACTTATGAAAACACAACCTAAACACAAAATACAAAAAGAACACAATATTGCTGGAGTGGAGGAATTATCTCATTTTTCCGCGGTAAGCTTTCATCTTTTGATTTGTGATGCACACGACAGAGTAGCTCAGGGTGGGTTTGGACGTGTTGTGACTGCATGATTGTTTTGACGTGTTTTTCTTTGTCTGTTAGGCCACGGTTGCATGAATGAGATCACCCCCTTGCTCACCATGGAAGGCCATTCCAAACCCACATTTTTGTATCCAAGGAACGCAGTGTTTCTCAAGGATGTGTTGTTTGGGGATGACCTTTTCTTTTGATTGAGTAGCACGTGTTTTACGGCACTATCGACTCAAGACCTTTTATTTGCCAAATATGTTTCTGTATAAAGACATATATCGTGTGATGCATGACTGAATATGTGGTATTCTCTCTAAAGTGATTGGCTTTCCATGTGCAATTACTGTGTGGATATCTTTGAAGGTGTCTTTTACGTGAACAAATTTCTCTCTCAGAACAATTAATGCAGTGTCTATTATGCTTTGATTTTGTGTACATGCAACTGTTCCTTTTGCTAAAAATGATGCTAGCTGTCTGTACACATGGGCTGTGATGTATTTATGGCAGTTGTTTCCTATAAATGAACGGCTGTGGTAGGCCAGTGGTGTGATGTTGTGTTGTTTGAGGATGTTATCAAATTCAGAGCAGGCAGGACTTGACCTTGGAATAAGCTCCTCAAACTCTAACTCTGACAGCTGATCATGTACACTAGAACCCTCCCTCTCAAATCTCTCTGCTTCTTGTGGATTATCTGACAAAACCTGACAGCCCTGTAACAATTGAATGTCCTCCTCCGTTTTTTCAGCCCTCTTTCATTTTTTGCCGTAGATATGCACATTTTGTCCTATTCCAGGCGTGCAATTCTCCATAGATTGATGGACCAGCTGTACATCTATATCATGTGCGGCCTCCTCAAGAAGGCGATGATGTTTGAGCACAATGCCCACCCTATGATCACGTTGAGTGTGGCACTCCATGACAAAAATATTGTTTAAAATGACAACGAAAATCAGATGTAGTAGAGGCAAGAAAACTAAAAACAGCAAGGATGAATGTTCAGAGTGGTGTGTTGGTATTTCTTAAAAATCACAGAAAATCATAGAATAACTTAGTGCACTTGAAACTTGCACATGTAAATGAAAATTGTCACCACAGTTGATACATGAATTTCTGTTTAAATCGTTGGGGGCCGGATTGAAATATTTAAATCCAAACTGAAAAAGTTCTAAAAATTGAAGATGCCAGTTTGAAAATCACAGACTTACTTAAATCCCTTGTAAAACTGATATAATCGGACTTACAAGAAAACAAGTTATACCGGCTTACAGGTCAAACATAGCACGTTACAATGAAATCTCAATCGGCCTTGTAGCATTGATAGTTTCAGAGTTAGGAGGCTTTCAATTCGCACTAAAACGCCATATTTACTACTGCCCCGGCGCAGGAGGAGTGGCGCTGCGGTCACCCCAATTAACCCCTCTGACAAGTGATTTATGACTACGCGCTGGGCTGTCGGGCGGGGCGGGCAGGGTGGTGAGGATGGTCTGGGAGGAACCGGGGAAGGAAAACTAAGTGAGCGGTCTGGACGGTATTTTATCCGCTGTGTGTCTTGCATGACTCATGCGCAAGGGAAAAACCCAGTAACGACCAATTACAAGTACAACTCCATACAACTCCAGGTGAACTTAGCGTAAATTTAAATTGAAAATTTCTGCCAGAACAGAAGCTAGAATAATATGTGTCAAGGACCCTGTAGAAGTTAAGTGTCTTTTCTTTACCTGATACTCATCAGTTCTAAGGCCATCTGAAATCAGATAGTTGACATTGTAAAGGCACAAATGCTATGTTTTCATAGGTGTTCCTTTCCGTGCATTGGCAAAACCTGGCATTAAGTGAAACTTGCGGTATAATGAGGTTTGATTGATTGTACTAGCAACACACCTGTGTTTTAGCCCAAAGATGGAAGACATAGAGTTGCATAAAGAGTTCATTGTAGCGAAGTTACTTGAAAGTGAATTTTAACTAAGCTATAAGTCAGGAAAAATGAAGAAATAGAATGTTTACTCTACACCTAATTAATGATTATGAGGTGTAGATCACGGCAATACTAATTTAAAAAATCAGAAAATACCTACCTTTATATAGAAGGGGCTGGGTAGAGTGTCTCCAGTCCTATCGTTGTTCATTTGATAACTTCGGCACTTGACATTTTCTCCAGTTTCTAAATCAACATCCACAAAGATTGGATGATACAAAGCCTCTTGGCTGAGGAGGTTTTGAAATAACAAAAATAAAAATCAATTAGGTAAACAAGGATAAACATGAATAGGTACAGAATGGGGAGACAGAAAAAGCAAAGTAAAAGAGGAAGAAAGAGTAGTAAAAATGATAATTAAAACTATATTCTGCTAATCTTTTCAAGTGTTCAACATACATTCTACTGTTACCACTCCGACATTATAATCTGTAATCTTTAACCAAAATTTAAAAGAACATGTTTTTACTTACGCATCTAGATTACTGGTATGAGCCTCATTAATTTCCCACACACATCCCATTACATAGCTTCCATCTTTTTCTTCTATCGTGGCGGGGGCACCATGCCAGCGAGGTTTTCCAGGAAATCGTGGGGTATCAAATTGCAAAGCATAGTTCTGAAAAAAGAAAGATTTTATTGATTAATGATAATAATAAAATTAATAAATAGCATTTTCATAGCGAATATCCCCACGTTTCTGGTATACAAATAATATTATTACCTCAATAGACCTGGAACACTCAGAAACATTCTCTGCTATCTGGGAAGCAAACCTGTTAAAATAAACTTGATTGCCTTTTTTGAATGTCGAACTATTTGATGAGAGAAAACCATTGATTATACTCCAAACAACGATTCATGATGTTTGAAATCGAAATTTAAAGTGCTTTCGTAAACCTTACTTCAGTCTCAAATGGTGAAATGACATTTACCCTGATGACCCATTCTCAAAAGGTTGGGGTAAAAGTGGTAATAAAAGTCCATTTTATCAAAAAGTCACTTTTCATCCAGCTGAATTCAGAGTAACAATCTTTACTAGTTAACCTGGTTGTTCTTTTTTTAAAGAGGAAGAAGATAATCTGATACAATACTGAACAGAAAAATCTATCAACTTTTAAAAGTCCACAACTGAGAGAATCATGCATGCCACTTAAAACGAAATATGGACCCAATTTAAAACAAAACCCCCTTTAAAAAATAGTATTGAGAGCATCAGTCATGTTGAAATACATGCATACAAAAGTAATTTTGAAAATATAAAAAAAAAGCTTTAGGCCGATCCTCCAAAACTCTACAACTACAAGAATAACAATTTTGGAGAATATAATATAAGCGAAGTCATTTCCTCACACATAATTGGCGGGTGAGGAGATGACCGTGTGACGAAATGACCGGTTACTGCTCAGTGACTCAAGAAAAGGACCTCGACACTTATTTATATGCAGCCTAAACACCAGATACATGGGAAGGACTTTAGTAACGAGCGAGCACCCAAACAAACACAATAAAGAAGAGACCTACTCCTAGCCCTAACCCAGACCCAGCCCGGGCCCAATCTTTACCCCCCTACCCCAATCCAAAACCTCTATTCTACTTTGTTTCGTAGTGGTCGCTTGTTACAGAATTCCGCCCCATTTATGCTTAAACTACTTTTAAACTTACATTTAATCTTCCAACACATCTGAACTTTGCAGTGGGGTTGGATATCAAGATTCTTTCACGAAGTAAATTGCTTCCATAGGAAAAATACTGAAAAACTCCCATGCTGGCTTCAATTGCCTGTCACTTTTAACGACAGCTCTTTCTACAAGCAAGCTTCACGGGTCTCTGTGGAATAAATAAACAGTTCAAATAAACATTATACATCTAAATTATCTTTATAAACAACCATCCCAAGATAAATTCATAAAGTAGAATGAGGCAATATGACCATCATATGTGACATCAGCACATAACCAACCACTTCAAAGAGTTGGAACCCAGTCCAAATTTCATCTTTCACATATTAGCAACTGAGATTTTTAAAATGCGGCTGAGGTAATGATAAAGATATATATAAAATAATGATTTTGATATCAATTATTTAAAACTCTGTCACTACCAGGGGGTTTCCTCACCTGGGCCGGGCTCTATCTGTGACCTTCTTTCTGATTCTGCTTACTTTCAGACAAAAAATTAAAGACTTTTAGTTCAATTTTCAAAATTATCCACACAATGTAGGCCTCTCTATATATATGAAAATAAAGGGGAAATTGACCTTCCATCTCAACATGTTGCTAAAAACGATAATTCTTCAGCCTGAGATTTCAGATTTGATATTACAAAAGTAAATGTGGTTTTGAAGTAGAGCGAGTCCTGAAACACGGCTTGAGGTCTCGGGGTGGGGGGTAACATTATCAGGTGCGAAACATGGCTCGCAGTAGAAAAAGAGCTTAATTAAAGCTAACTTTCATGGCTTCAAAGCACTATCGTATAAACTCAATCATCACCACGCTAAACAATGCACACAACAAGCTTATTATTTAAAATTACTAAATTCTTTTCCGTAGAGCTTCAACAAATGTTTTCACAATTGCATTAGCTAACATGAGTAGATCAACAACCTGGCTTCAGCAAGAAGACTCTTGCGCAGTGCACATCCAGTAGAGAGAGGGGAAATTTACAATACATGTGCAAATATAAAATGAGACAAAAAGGAAAAGTATACATATATATGTGTGTGTGTGGTGTAGTCTTTGTGTCTGTGAGCGTGTAGCTCTATGACTATGATGTGTGTGTGTGTGTGTGTGTGTGTGTG